CTGAGGGGATCAGAGAAACCCCCCAACATTCAGATCCAAGAGGGGTCTGAAAATCCTGAGCTCTTCCTTGTGCCTTTCCAGCACTTCTGCTCTGGGAAGCAGGTTGGGCAGAGATGGTGAAAACCAAACCTGCTGGGATGTGTGGGGAAGGAAATTGAAAAATGCTTTGGAAGCTGCAGGAAGGTTTGTTCAGGGGCCGGCTCTGGGTTTGGACAGAGGGTTGGGTCAGTTTTACTCTACCCAAACTGGTTCTCTGATCCTCGGTTTCCACAGCTCTGTGATATGACCTCAAGTGGCCAAAGGCCATGTTCTGCTCTCAGATACAGCAGAGCAATCTCTGCTGATGCAGAGTAACCAAGAGTGGAATTCGGCCCGAGCTGGCATGTGGCAGCATTGCCCTGGGGAAGCCTACAGACCTGTTGGCTGGCTTGGCGTCATCTCTTTGCAACTCCCGCCCCTCGTTCCTGCCTCTTAAGAGCTTCTTTGCTTGCACTCACTTATTCCCCTCGCTGAAGTTCAGCAGCCCATTAAAATGGTTGACCTTGTCATCCTCTCCAGGTTCTCACATCTGGTTCTCGTTAAGGGATCCCAGGATGCAGCTCTCTGTCAGTTGCTCTCCCTACCTCCCACCCCTTTTGTGACCCAGGGAGGATTATGGGTGATTAGAAGACAGGCAGCAGAGCAAGTATAGACGGGGGAGGGATTGTTATAAATAGAAATACCATAAACTTATCAGCCTATCACTCGAGGTGAATTCTGGTTTTAATCTCTAAGACCCGTAAATACAGTGACTGGAAGGGGAAGGGCGCAGTTAACCCTTTCAGATAGCTGCAAAACACTGCAGTCCTCAGGCACGCATTGCACACAGGAAACGGGGAGCTGAGCAAATGTGAGGATTCCCGGATCCCTTCCGAGCGAGATGTGCTGAGCACAGGAGCATGCCGCAGGGTGGGGTGGCACAAGCAGGAGTTCGTGGCTTGCTGATCGGGTGCCTGGGAGTCTAGTGGGACAAGAGCAGAGATGAGCCACAAACGAAAAACACAAAGGAGGTGGGCGGGGTGCTGCTGGCTCTGTTCAGAGGCTGATTGAGTTGGGAAGTCTGGGGAAGGCAGAGAAAACCAGTCCAAACAGTGGGATTCCTGACATTCTCCCACGTACGGGGGGCCTCTGCTTTCCCAGCTCCTGACTCCTTTGGTGAGGAACGGATGCCATCCTGTCCTTCCCAAACAAGCTTTACCTGCGTGGCTCCCCACGCTTTCCCTCAGCCCCTTGGGAGGGAACTGGCGGGAGAGAGACTCCAAAGGAGCCTCCAGGGGTATTCCGGAGCATGGAGGGAGGCTTTGGGAAGGGTTATGGAGTAAAGGGAAGCAGGACCAATGATTATGGAGGGAAAGGTGATTCTGGGGACAGAGCATGACCCACCTTAACATGGTGAGGGCTAGGGAGCCTCTTGACGTGTTTTTGCAGCAGGGGCCAGGCGTGACTGCAAAGGGTTATGGAAGGGTGGGCATCCCAGAAGGTTTTGGAACTGGAAGGCTCTTGAAATGGCTCTGGGATGAGTTAAATTCTGCTTTTAGTTACAATGCGTGGCACAAAGCAACTCCGCTGAGGTCAACAGAGTTACTGTGGGTTCACTGCATGGTGACCGAAGGCAGAATTTGGCTCACTGAGTTTTGGAGACTCTGGGAGAGGCTGTAGGTCTTGTGATACAGCCTGTGGAGTAATGGACGGTGGGGGACTCTGGAGCGGGTGATAGACCGTGGCATGCTTTCGGCAGGGCTCTGGATGGCGGGGGACTCGAGTGGGTTATGGAGCCTGGGTGCATTAGGCAGAGTTATGGATGGTGGTGGGTGCTGTCTGTTCGAGTTAGCACTTTTCTTTTGAGCAAAGGAAATATGAGCTCATTGGCTGCTGGTCACTGCTGCCCTCTGTTCCATCTCCCTTTGATTGGGACTTCGAGATGAGTTCTGTTTCCTGTGGAGCCTTTGGGGTGTTCAGCTTCATTGGTCCATTTTCTGTGGCTTCCTACTCCCTGTTAATCCCCCGTTGCAAGGGGAGGAGGGGCATTGTTAATGTCGTTAGGCGCTCGTGACTCTAAAGAGAGGTATTAGCTTTTGATTAATCACCTAAGCTGGCTTTTGGTAACAGTCCCTACTGAACAGAAGTTTTCAGGCAATGAGATGCTCTTAAGAGCTCGTGCTCAGCTGCAGACATTCCAGAGATATTTTCTGCCCCACAGAGACAAACGGGTGCTCAGAGGACCAGAAAAAGGGTTGAAGACTCAGGGGAAGAGATTCTTAGTGGTGACCAGGACAGATCAGAAACAGGGGGAGATGGGGACTGGCAAAGAACTGGGACAGCAGTCAGCCAGGGACAGGGAATGTCACCGCATGGAGCCCGGCTACTCTCAGTCCCTTTGCAGAAGGCTCAAGGGCCTCCAGCCTCTTGTTGAGAAAAGTCCTTCATTGGATTTATTTTAAGTAGGTAAAGAACTGCCCCTCCCACCCCGCAGCCGGTCCCCCCCATTGTGGCTGTTATCAATTCTGTTGTAGCTCCAGAGCAGTTCAGCTGACGCACCTTCCGCGCCAGGGTGCTTATCGCACCCTTTGCTTGGGTCTCGATTGAATTTTCGCGAAGGTGACCTTTCAGGCAAGGTGGCTAGGAGGGTGTGAGCTGAGAGAGCAGCCAGGCTGGGGAGGTTAGTCTGTGGAATGGCCACAGTCTATCCCCGAGGGATGTATGTGAGCCTGTGTCCACCAGGAATTCTGTCCATCCATGCAGAGCTTGTTAGAGCTTTGACCCTGGGACGGGGTCTTCTGAAACCAGCAACCTGGAGAGCTCTCCTCAGGGAAGCTTGGTAGCCTGTGGGAGAGGAGAGGGACTAGTGCACTGGCTCTTCACTTCTGGAGATCTGGATTCAAATGCTGGATCGTGTGGCAAGTGACTTGGGCTCTCTGAGTGGTTCCCTGGTGGGCATATGTCCACATCAGCCCATGATGTAGCATGACTGAAAGTCTTTACCCAAGAGAGAACTGGCACTGGAATAGTAGGGGAGCTGAGAGTCATGGCTTGAGAACATTAGCAAACCTTGGCTGGGCAGGGCTGGAATAGCTGGGGCGTGCCAGGTCAGGACTGAGGAGCATTAGCAAGCATTGGGGGGCAGGGGTGCTGCTGGACAGGCCCAGAGCTGTGTCGGGGAGCACTCAGGAGGAGAGCATCGAGAAGGGGGGAGGGTTGCTGTGGGTCAGGTGGAGAAGCAGCAGCACAGCAGCTAGGGGAAGCATTCCAGCCCCTGCCTGCGCTGATCCTGGTCCAGCCGACGCTGTCAGTCCGAAGGGCACCTGAGCCAGGAAACGTTCCAACCCGCATGATGCCCGTATCTAAGCAAGCTTCTCTGACGAGGAGGCAGATCCTCAGGCCATGGCTGGGGAGCCAGGCCGACGCTCCTGCACCCTACGGTCCTTCTCTCTGGGACCGTACTGTGGAAGTGTCTGTGTGTCTCGGCACCCCAAGTTGCACACTTGTCCTGCCTGTTGCTTTTCTGTGGGATCCCGGCCTGGACACTGGAGGGGCTGGGGACTCCAGGCTCTATTGAGGTGTGTGTTAAGCTGGATGCTTTCTTTCGTAGCAGCGAGCCACCCTTCCCCGTGACCTGCTGTTGAGGTGTGTGGTACACAAAGGGTTAGGTGTTTTACAATGGAATCCCGACCCAGGCTTTTCTCTCCGGCCTGGGTTACCAAGGAAAAGATTCCCCCACCCCACCCCCGTTCGCTTGGCAAAATTCCTAGCTGGATTTATTTCTGCCGATTTGCTTGTCTTGGTATGAAAGGGATTTTCACAGGGGAAAGATCTGATTGGCTGGACGCCGGCTGAAGCCCCTCTTTTTCACGTTTGCGGTTCATTGGCTAACCTTTCCCCACAGTGTGGCTTGGAGGGGGCGGTGGTCCTTTGATGGTATGTGTGTGTGTGCGCGTCTGCTGGGCAAGTGACACATCGCCTCTGGCTGAAGGGATCGGGCCGTTGTGGAAGGGCCGTCTTTGTTAGCCAAGCTCTGGGGACGGGGCTGGGGCTGCTCTTCCCCTTTCTTGGCTGTGTCTTTGGCACTTGGGGTTGGCATAGGCCCCAGCAGGCTGCACACTCCTACTCCAGCGAGGCAGATAAAGAAAGCACTTTCTCTCGATGAACCCCAGCCTGGCTTCCACAGCACGGGAGGAGGAGGAGGAGAAAGGGGAAGAAAGTCTAGTGCTGCCCTCGCAGGAGTGGGAGGCGGGTGCATGAGGGGAGCTGAGATCTGTTCCAAAGCTGGCAGCAGCATGAGCGATTTCAGCATGTTCTGCGAAACCAAGGCAAGGGTCCAATGGGGAGGGAATGAAACCAGACTCCCGAATCCACCCACAGAGCCCACACAGCGCGGCCCTGCTGCTCGGCACTAGCCATGGGCTCCTGAGGCCTCAGGCCTAGCCACGGGCTCCTGCAGCCCACACCAAGCAGCTTTTCCGCCAGGGCAGGTGGCCCAATCAAAGCCAGTGGCTCCTGCAGCTCACGCTAACAAGGCCTATGCTACTGCCAGGCGCTGTCATCCACATTTCTCAGGAGGCCCTGTGCAGAGGAGTCCAAGAGCCCAAGCAACCAGGCCCAGCCCAGCAGGGCTCTGCAGTCGGCACAATTTACCATCGAGTATTCCCTGTGTCCCGCAGACTTTCTAATAACTCTGCCTTGTCAGCACTCGCACTGTTGCCCCCATGGCGTCTGTGTTCCCAGCTCGTGGGTTGGCAGGGGTGCGGGTGGACACTGAGGTGGTCTCTCTAAAAGAGCATGATCTGATTGCGCAAGGATCAGTGGGTCTGGCCCTCAGCTCAGTCCCTTTATCCTCCTGCGCTGAAGGGCCCTGGGGCTGTAGGAGGAGCTGTAAGTCGCTCTCTGATCTCTCAGGAAAGGGAGCCTGACTTGTCTGGTTTTCTAATGGCTCTCGCCCCTTCCATTCCTTCTCTTTTCTGCAGGCCACGACATTAATGGAGCTCTGGAACCTTCCAACATCGACACCAGCATTCTGGAAGAGTACATCAGCAAGGAAGACTCACCAGATATGTAAGTCCCTGCCTTGTGCGCGGCCCGGTGGTGGGGGGCTGCCAGCGGGGGCAGATCTAGTGACCGTTTTCCCAGGGAGAAGTTGAATTTTCTCCTTTCCAGGGGTGCAATGCCTTGTTTGTAAATAGCTTCCCTGCCCCCTTTTACCCCTGCTCTCTGCCTCTGTCAGATCTCCCATCTGTCGCTCTGTGCTACCATCGTCATTTTCAATCCCTCCTCTGTTCTCCAAACCCCTTTCTAGTTTCCTTCCTCCCAGGTAGGATCAGTAAAGAATCCTTTAATTCCCGTCCTTGGCGCACCCCCTGCTACCTTTGGACAGGACTAAAAATGGCACAGAGGAACATCAAATGAATGCATTTTGGCCCACGCTCCCCTGTGCTGCTAGGAATAGCTACTAGGGCATCATGCTGGGAGCGAAATGCACTGGCATTCTGGGGAGAGAGATCCCCAGGAATGAGTGTGTGCGGAAGGGAAATGTCTCCCTGGGACCAGCAGTGGACCTGGCTCTCCACACCACGCTGGGGTGCACTGACTTCACCGGGGAGAAAATGGGCACTCACCACAGGCTGTAGTCCCTGTTGGTGCTGGCAGTGGGGCACTGACCTGTTGGGATGGGAGGTACTGTCCTGTTCCCAGCAGGTGTTTGTTACACTGGGCTGAGTGGAGCTTCTCAGCACATCTGGCAAAGTAAGCAGGGTTGGGTTTGGTCAGTCTTTGCCTGGGAGCCCTCAGAGGAAGACCTGAGTGGTGTAATGGGGCCTGAATCAATGCCACAGCATGGGGCAAACGGGAAGTGAGCTGCTGGAGTGGCCACTTTCCCCAGAAGTCGAAGAACTGAGGTAATGGGCAGTTCTAGCCTTTAAAGATCCATGAGCAACATTAGGTTAGTATCCTCTGTCCTGGGAGATTACATTCCACCTCCCTCCATTCCCCCACCGGTAGCAGCTAGATACTCACCCTCCTTCCGCTCCCCAGCCTGAGCCCCGGGGTGCAGTTTTGCTGGTGCTGTCGGGTTGCGGTGCCTCCTTCCCAGTGGTGGGTGTGTGGGTGGGGGCAGAAGGGCTGCGTGGCCGGCGAAAGGTGCAATATGTGTATACTGCTGAGGTTCTCAACTTCTCTCCCACAGCTGCTTCCCAGACATCCCTGCCTCAGCCAGCTACGCACACACCCAGCCTTCCGGCTCTGCCTCTGTCAGCGCTCCTGTTGCCAGCTCCATCTCCAGCGTCGCTCATGTGACCAACCCAGCTTCCAGTGGTGCCCTCCATCTCTGTCCCCCAGGCAGCCAAGGCCCGGTCCGTCATGTTCCTCTTTTGGCCAACCCCTGTGGACCCAGCTACAGTGCTCACCTCAACTGCAATAACAACAATGGCATGGTGGTGCCCAAGGGGTACCTCAGTGGCCACTGCCTGAATAACGTGGTCCCTCCAATCAAATCGGAGCCCAAGGCCTCCTATGCACCTGGGTAAGTGTGGCTGAAGCAGGGAGGAGGAGTAAAAAGAGTTTCTTCACCTGGAGGTGATTATACATTAGGAACTCTGAGGCCTGCTGTGTTTGTCCCACAAACCTTCGGGTGCCTAAACATTGATTCAGGTGCTTAGTTATTGGTGCTGGAGTTTGAGAGCGTTGGCTGTGGCCTTCGTGCCAGTGACGTGCATTGAGCTAGGTGGAATAGTATCGTCCCATATGAGAGCAGATGGCATTAAAGCCAGGGCCAGCGGGGGCCAAAGAGATTCATGGAACACAAAGCAGAAGGCTCTGTGAGTGAATGATGGGAAAATCTTTTAGTATCTTAGGCAGGAACAGAGGCATATTTGGAATCCATTCCAGATTGAGAAAATCCTCATTCCAGGATCTCCCTGGGGCTATCCCAGGTGAAAGGTGGTAGCTAACTCAGACAAAAAGATATGGAGTCTGGTGTCCCAAATACCTTGGGCTGGTATTTGATATCTCTCACTCTGTGTAGGAAGGAGTTAGACCCTGGGCTGAATTTGCTCCCACTTGCAGTGTACTCTAGGCTCACCCCCTGCAAAGAGTGGGAGGACTGAGTTTCTGTATCTCTGGTGGACTGAACATGTAGCCCCAGGAGGAGAAAGTGCACCCAGGGAGATGCTGCAATTCCTGCTTTCTGGGCAGGTGTCTACCTCAGTGGGCAGAGATGGGCCTGCCATGGCAGGCTGGGATCAGAGGGAAGCGTGGCAATGCCAGGCCAGCGATTGCTCTGCTGGGTGAGCAGGAGCGTGCAGCCGTTGGTAGAGAGAGGACTGCTGTGCCATGCTGGGCGGGAATGGGGCCGAGGCTGTCTTGGTGGGCAGGGTGGGGATTGCCCCAGAGAGTGAGACATAGATGGAGACAATTCTCTCCGTGGGTAGAATGTGCCATAGCTCCCAGAGGTGAGAGAAATAGCTCCCCACACATGCTAGTTCATACATTTCATTCCTGGTAGCTGTTAGTCCCTAGCCCCCTGCTGGGAGGAGCACCCCAGCTTCTCCCTTCCCCTGACTCTTTCAAGGGTGCTGCTGGGGAGATCCTTTCCTCACCGCTGGCAGAGGAAGACTCCAGAGGAGTCAGTAAGACGGCGATGGAAATCAATAGTGCCACATCCCTCTCTCAGCGTGGCCACCCAGCAGTCTGGCATCACCCCCACCACACACACACATGACCTGCGCCAGTGCCTGACCCATCCTGGAGTCTCCCATCCCTCCACTTAGCACCTCTGTCTCATGTGGCGCATAGCCTCGCTGTGTTACATTTGCAGCCATCTCCTTCCTCTTTGGAATTGGTGGGTGTTGGGTGCGGAGGCCCAGGCCAGGATGGAGTCCAGGTTTTGTGCATGTCTGTGAATCTCATGTTCTCCTCTGCCTCGCGCCATCTAGTGATGCCAATAAGGAGAACATCATCATGATTCCAGGAGTTGGGAAGGCTCTGAATTCACGGGGCCAAATTCAACCTTGATGTAATTCCACTGAGGCCATTGGGTTGGATTTGGCCCATTGGAGGGACTTGGAAAGATTCTCATGAATGAGGCGGGGTAGAGAAAATCACCGATTGTGTCCATTGCCGTTGGATTCCCAGTCTGGGGGAGGACACGGAGTTTTCCCATGAGGCAAACAGCTGGACAGGAGCCATTCCTAGGGGCTCTCAGTCATGTTAGGGTCCATCCTGCAGAAGGTTTCCAGTTGTTTAGTCTAGTAAGGACCCGTTCTGTCCTTGCCCTTGGCTGAGATGGCCAACCAGGCTCATAGAGCCAACGGTGGCCATGGCTTGTGCGATGGGGATACCTGCCCGCCAGGGGCTGGGACTCCAGCCCATTGAATGGCAGTTGGAGGGTGACGACTTTGGGTCCCTAATAACCTCAGCTTTGGTCACACTGGAGGCTTGAGAGTCTTTCTCCCAGTCCCCGAGTTGGGGCCCCAGTGGAGTCAGTGTCCTAGAGGTGAAGGGCTCCGTACCCTACCCAGTCCCCTGGCCTTGGGGGGATCGTTGTGACAAAAGGCACAAGAAAGTAGCTGAATTGGGTCCTGAGATGACTTTGCAACAACTCTGGTTTGGTTTCCGTTATCTCATTGCAATATTCTTGCCCTTCCCCCCACCCAAAGGCACATTAAGCTTGGTCTGGACGTAGCTGCGTCCATCACGGGTGTGAAAAATCCATACCCTGGAGCATTGGAGCTATGCCGACCTAACCCTCGGCGTGGATGCAGGGAAGAATTCTTCTGTTGAGGTGGCGACCGTAGTTCCGGGAGGCGGTGTTCCTATAGTGACAGAAAAATCCCTTCCATCACTACACTACGGGGTTATGCTGGTGTTAGTCCCTGTAGTGTCAACATATCCTGAGCCTGCTCGTGTCTGCTCCCCCCACCCCAAGCCTGCATATTGGCACCTGGGCCGTTAAGATCAGCTGGGACTCTGGAGCTAGATTTGTTTATCCAGGGGCAGGACGTTCTCTGGAACTTACTCCTGATGGAGACCAAGTCTTTTGACCTGTCGGGCACGCAACATGGCATGTCTATTTTCCCAGGCTGTCTCTGAGGGTAACTGGGGAGGAGCCGTTTAGCTTTTCATGAAGAGCTGGGAGTCCTGGAAAGCTAAAGTTGGATCAAACTGGATTTTTCGGTGTGTGGTTTTTAAATGACTGACGTGTCCGTGTGCAGGGAGCCTGTGTTTAGCCTCATGGTACAAGGCAAAATAAATAGAGGATAACTCAACAGATCACTCCCCTGCTGCCCAACTGCCCCATAGAACACAGGAAGTTCCTTGTCAATCCTTTTATCCCCGGACATGGTGCGTTTGGTGAGGCCAATAGAGTTTCCTATTCATATTTGGTTCCCTTTTGCAGAGTTAGGGCCAGATTCTGCTCTTGGTGCTGCTGGTGTAAATCCAGAGGAACTCCATTGACCTCTGTGGGTGCTGCTCCGGATTTCCCCAGGTGTGAGTGAAAGCTGAATCTGGCCCTCAGCCTCACAGCCTTCGCTTTCATGCATCAGATCCCGGAACAGAGCCAGGCTCCCCTATTTATTCAGGGTGAAACCAATGATCTTTTTCTGGGGAACAGATACATTTCTGTTTGGCTTCTTTTAACTGTCCATGAGCTGCAAAGAGAAGACTCTGATTAGCAGGTGAACAAAATGGCTGTGAAATGAAATGCCTATACATACAATCAAAGGAGGTACTGTGCAGGGGTGCTGACAGCTGCTGCAGTGCCAGCCTCTTCCAGCAGGAGGCACTGTAGCAAATGTTCTCAGGCCCTGGCTGTCGGGGAGTTCTGGGCCCAGCGAGAGATGCAGCAGGGAATGGTGCAGAGGCTCTGGCTATGCACGGCTTTCAGCTACTCCAGTCCCAGCCTGAGGCGACGTAGGTAATGGTGTGTGGAGGGGCTAGCTGGGAGCTCTGGCTGTAGGGAGCTGGGGCAGAAGCGCTGACTGCAGGGCAGCTCACGGCTATTTCAGTCCCAGTTTCTGCTGGTAGTAGGGAGTGCTGTAAGGATGGGGCAGGAGAGCTGGGTGTGGGCTCTGGTGCCAGCCTCTGCCAGCAGGAGTGTCTGTGGGCAGTGGGGTTAGCCGTGGTGCCGTTTGAATGGGTTTTATCCTGGAGTGTGGAAGTCACCGTGAGCAAACTGAAAGGCTTGGTTTTGCTGGAAGCTGGTTTGCAGTGACCTTCTCTTCTCTTTCTCCATTGCTCTCCAGCACTTTACCCGACTCTCCCCCGGACTCTGGATCAGAAGCCTACTCCCCCCAGCAGGTGAATGGTAAGTGCTTAAAAAAAAAAAAAAAAAAAAACCCAAACCTCCCAGCCTCCCCCCTCTTTGTTTTACGAAAGTGGTTGGCTCTGAAATCTTTATCAGACGGGAAAAACAGACGGCTGCAATACGTGGAGAGATTATCAGTTAGTAAATATTCCTAGACTTTCACCTATTGTTCTCCGGCTAGTCTTTGAAAGGGGGGGAGTGAGAGGGAATGGGAGAGGGGGAGGAAGTGCGGATCCACACACACACAGCGCGGAAGAGAGAGCCTCGTACCCAGGCAGGGTGTGAAATGGAGTCTGCGAGCCTCCGATTGCTGGTGTCCATGGTGGGGGTGTAAAACAGAGTGAGGGTGCGCGCGCCTCCTGGAAATGAAGCCCAACTTGTGGAAACACTAATGAACTCGCTGTTTAGTGGTAAGTTCTTGCTGAGCCTTTTCCTGCCGTCCAAGGAGCTCCTCTGGTCCAAGGGGGGGGCACCTTCTGCTTCCCTTCTGCATAGGGCGGGGGGAACTCGGGGCCCCTCCCAGAGATGATTGTTTTCCCCCGGAAGGCGGGGTCAGGGCCATTCTGCCCCACTTGGCTTGGTGCGGGCTGAGGGAAGTGGGTGGATGTTGTTTGGTCCCAATGGCGACGCTCCCCATGCCTTGATGGCAGCACTGGCTGGGTGGGTGAGATGGTGGGAGGGGAAGGGAGCATGCCAGCTTCCCCGCCTCCCCACAGTTGCACTCTTTTTCCAGGCTCCAACCCAGTCCATGCTGGGAACGGCTCCTTCTCTTTTCTCTATGGAAGAGGTCAAGAGTTCTGTTTATCTTACTAAAAAAATCCCTGGAATTCCTCCTGGCCCTTCCTTAAATATAACAAAGAGGCCGGGCTACTCACCGCAGGGAGGGCAGATTTCCCTCACTGCCAGAGCAGCAGCACCTTCGCCTCAAGAGAACATAAGAAGAGGCGGCTACGGAGAACCCGTCTCGATAGGCTCACTTTTTGTAAGAGAGGAATCAAACCCTTCAACCTCGTTTTGCCCTGGATTTGGCAGAGGCTGGGTCCTCAGTGAGACTGTGGGGGCTGGTTTTGGTGCATGTTTCAGTAATTGACGTGGCCTCTTTCCCTGCTACAGGGTTAGAAGCATCTGAAAAACAGAGAGAACTGTTCCCTTGAGACGCAGAAGATAACATAAGGGCTGCCATACTGAATCACGCCAGGTTCCATCTTCCCTGGTGTCCTGTCTCTGACTGTGGCCCATACCAGAGCTTCACGGGGATACAGAAGAGGGTAGTGATCCACCCCTGTCTTACACTCCCGGCTTCTGTTAGTCAGAGGCTTAGGGTTGCCTTGAGCATGGGGTTGTATCTCTCACTATTTTGGCTAATAGCCATTGGTGGTCTTATCCTCCATGAATTTATATAGTTCTTTTTTGAACCAGTTATACTTTTGGCTATCACAACATCCACTGGCAACAAATTCCACAGGCTTGTTGTGGGTCATGTGGAAAAAGTACTTCCTCTTGTTTGCGTTAAACCTGCTGCCTGTTAATTTCATTGGGTGACCCCTAGTTTTTGTATTGTGTGAAAGAGTAAATAACACTTCTCTATTCATTTTTTCCACACCATTCATGATTTTACAGACCTCTATTGTATCCCCCTCAGTCATCTCTTTTCTAAGATGAACAGCCCTAATTCTTTTTAGTCTCTCTTCATATGGAAGCTGTTCCATACCCTTGATAATCTTTGTTGACCTTTTCAGAACCTTTTCCAGAACCAGAACTGGACACAGTATTTAAGGTGTGGACACACCATGGATTTATATCATGATATTTATTTTTTATTTTCTATCCCTTTCCTAATGGTTCCTAACATATTGTTAGGGGTTTTTCACTACTGTTGAGCAATGAGCAGAAGTTTTCAGAGAAATATCCATGGTGACTCCCAAGATCTTTTTCTTGGGTGGTAACAACTAATTTAGAATCTATCACTGTATATTTATAGTTGGGATTATGTTTTTCCAGTGTGCATTATTTTGCACTTATCAACACTGAATTTCATTGGCCATTTTATTCCCCAGTCACCCAGTTTTGTGAGATCCCTTTGTAACTCTTTTTAGTCAGAAACTCTTTTAGTCAGAAACTCAAAAAAAACCAAAACTCTTTTTGGACTTAACTATCTTGAATAATTTTGTGTTGTCTACATACTTTGCCACTTCACTGTTCACATCCCTTTCCAGATCTTAATGAATATGTTGAACAGCACGATCCTCAGTACAGATCCTTGGGAGACCCTGCTGTTCACCTCTCTTCATTGTGAAAACGGACTATTCCTATCCTTTGTTTCCTATCTTTCAACCAGTTACTGATCCATAAAAGGACTTTCCCTCTTATCCCCTGGCTGCTTAGTTTCCTTAAGAGCCTTTGGTGAGGAACCTTGTCAAGAGCTTTCTGAAAATCCAAGTACACTATATCCACTGGATCTCCTTTCTCCACGTGTTTATTTACACCCTCAAAGGATTCTAATAGATTGGTGAGGCATGATTTCCCTTTACAAAATTTGTGTTGACTTTTCCCCAACATGTTCTATTCACCTGTGTGTTTGATAATTCTGTTCTTTAATATCGTTTCAACCAATTTACCCAGTACTGAAGTTAGGCTCACTGGCCTGTAATTGCAGGGATCCCCTCTGGAGCCTTTTTAAAAAATTGACATTACATTAGCTACTTTCTAGGCATCTGATATAGAGGCTGATTTCATTGTAGAGTATAGGTTATATACGACAGTTCTGCAATTTCATATTTGAGACCCTTCAGAATTCTGAGGTGAATACCATTTATTTAATTTATCAATTAATTACTGTTTAATTTATCAATTTGTTCTAAAATCTCTTCTACTGTCATTGGGGACAGCACTTCAGATTTGCTACCCACATCACAGCTATTCTTTTGGGGAATCTCCCCCACCCTATCCTCTCCAGTGAAGACTGGTGCAAAGAATTCATTTATCTTCCCAGAGTGCTCCTTTAACACCTTTGTCATCTAGTGGCCCCACTGGCAGGCTTCCTACTTCGGGTGTACTTAACACAAATGTTATTATTAGTTTTTGCATCTTCAGCAAGTTGCTTCTCAAATCCTTTCTTGGTCTGCTGTATTATACTTTTACATTTTACTTGCCAGCATTTGTGCTCCTTCCTATTTTTCTCGTTGGGATTTGACTTGCAAATCTTAAAAGAACCTTTTCGTCTGTAACTGCCACCATTACTCTTCTGTTCAGCCATGATGGGATTCTTTTGGTCCTCCTAATGTCCATTTTTAAAATTTGGGAGTAGACTTTTAATCTGAGCCTCTATTATGGTATTTTTAAGTAGCCTACGTGCTGCTTGCAGGCATTCTACCCTTGTGACTGCCCTTTTTAATTTTCATCTAACTAGTGTCACCAGTCTTGTATAGTTCCCCATCTAAAGTTAAATGTGACTGGGGTGGGGCTTTTTTATGTGTCCCCCCCCTCCCCCCAAGGAGGTTAAATTTAATTCACTGCGGTCACTATTACCAAGCGGTTCGGTTATATTCACCTTTTGTACCAGAGCCTGTGCTCCACTTAGGACTAAATCAAGAACTCTTATGGGTTCCAGGACTAACAGCTCCACAGTAGAGCCCAGAGGTTCTGCTCTCCTGGGATATGGCTGGAATAGCACATACACCATATCTGGCTCCATAGTCCCCCTCCGGTGCTTTGTCAGTGGTTTGATTTACCCCGGTTAGTGCCCACACTGCCAGCGTCAGAACTTCTGACTTAACCACACCACAAAAACCGGAGTGGTTCCAATGGGCTATCTCAATAGCTCTCAAGCTGTGCTCCTCAGAGCACTTCCAGGGGGGTTATGGACTTCTCTCACAATCGGGAAACATCTCCTTGTCTCCAAGTGTTGATCCAGCCCAGGACTCTTCTGGGGTTTCCAGAGGCTTTGTCAATTAACTGGACTGAAAAACACCTAGCCCGTCCCTGCACTGCTGGGTCATGCTGTTCTTTGTCAGGGGTTTCACTGGTGTAAATTCAGTAACTATGGGCATCAAAATTGGAGGGGGAGAGGAGCAAGCTGCAGAGTGACCTGGCAGGATTGGAGCCAGGTGCAGGTAGGTGTGGGGAAGGCAGCAAGGGGAGATTCAGAACTAGTCAGTGTAAAGCCCTGCACCCCAGTAGAGGCAGTAAACCACGTAGATACACTGTGTAATGGGATGTAACCAGTCATCTCACCCATCACATGGAAGTGAATTCAGTGTCCCTTGTCCCTTCACTCTTGCCTACTGTCCCTTTTCCATGCATCCTAGCCCTGTGGCTTTGGGACATGGGCAACCAGGAGCCTGGTCCCCCATTGGAGCTCATTTTTAGGAAGTGACCAAAATATGGGAAAGTTTGTGATCCTCTGATCGTCCGAAGGACATTTCTAATCATCCTCTTTTTCTTTTTCTTCTTCCCCTCTGGGGCAGTGACAGGGAAATGGGCCATGCTCAGACACCCCTCTGATGCAGCCACAAGGTAGCATCTTGGTTTATAACAATACAAGTCCCTCCAGTGCTGCTGCAGAGACCCCTTGTGCGCAGCCTCCGTGGAACACACTGATATCGCATGCGTAGAAAATCTTGCACTGTTATGAAAACCCGTCTGAAGGAAAAGGGTCCGGTTTGGTGACACACAAGCCTCCCCTCTCCCTAGGCTCTCTCTCCATGGAAGGGTGCTGGGCAGCTCAGTTAATTTTGCCAGGCCTCCCTGATTCCTTTTAAGAAAGTTTTGGACTCGTCAGGCAATGCCATGCAAAGGGCCTGACCAGTTCCCAGGCCTGGTCTCTCCCCATTGCAAGTTGCCTGGACTTTGCTCCATTCTGCCACCAGGGAGCCCGCTGGTGCTCATTTCCCCCTAATGTTAGGAGTTGAGAGGTGCTTGGACCTCATCTGGCCCCTAGCCAGAAGTGGCCTGTCTAGCTCTTGTGAGCAATCTCCATTCCCTTCTCAGGTGCCCGGTGG